ATATATATGTATATAACTGCACATTCACAGTATTGAAAAACCTGCTTTAATTGGTTGTAAAGGCACAAAATGATGGAGCAATACTCTAGAGAGTGAACAAAGCATTCTTATATCAACAGTTGCCGTGCTGATAGGCTATGTCCAGTCCAGTAAACATCAATGGTTAGAACATAAAAAAGTAAAAGTGAGCTGAACAGTATTTGTGTAGTATAGGATTTGATGGGATGGCAGAAAAATATATATTTCTATTACATACAACATAACTACAGCACATTTAATGTTGTCTGTTTCTCATTGGTGAAATGTGACACTCTGGTGGTGTAATATCTTTATGAATTTCAAGTTATATAGACCTTATCAGAAAAGCAAAACAAATCATTTTGAAGTTATAAGGTTGGGCTTTCTCATATTGAACATCAAATTAAACTGAAATAATTCATCTATTTCCACATTTTTCATACCTAATTCGCATTGATAAGCTGTTCACCATAATGGTAATTAAATGTGTAGCACTCCTTTAAAGAATGCATATTACCTGCTCCCTTTCATGCCAAGGTTTTAATCAAAAATCATGCTGAAAAATTACAAAGTTGTAGATGTCTTTGTCAAACCTTGAAACTAACACCATGCATGTACATCTGACATCTTGTGATATCACAAGAAGTCACCCTCAGAGTGTGTACTGTGAATAATTCTCACCTCATTTTCCAATATTAGCATTTTTATTGTTAATAACTAATTGTTTGTCACAGCTAAAGTCAAAGCTTTTGATGAATGAATAATTGGGGGCTACATTTTGTAAAATATTCAATCTTTAAAGAAAAAAAAACATTGCAGCGTCGCTTCATCTGAATTTTGAGCATGCATTTCTGGATCCACATTAATTTGAAATCCAAAGTTGAGTATCAGTAATCAAATAAACATCAATGAGTCAGTCAATCAACCAGTCTTGATTTAACGCAGGTTTAAAAGGGGATGCCGTTTTATTGTGTTGTTGCTTTCAAACTGAACATTGAAACAAGTTCTTTTGGGAAGAACATACAAGCCAGATGAACACTAATGTAGTGGCGTCATGGCTATGTTAAAAACAAGAAAAAAGCAACAAAACCTTTACATCGTCTGTACAAAGTTTTTCCAGTTATTTCTGACTACAAATGTACATGAAGTTGTACATACAGATACTCATGATCATAAACATCTACTTTTAAGACCACAAAACAAACTAGAGCATAATTAACTTAAAGGTGGAGAAAAAAACACATCAGACTTTCTTTTGCAATTCACCATACATGTAATGAAATAGTAGTGGGACAAAAACTAGTCTTAAGAAAAATATAATACATTCTAAGGACGTTACAAGTCTTGGTAAACTAAAAACTATGCTTTATGTAAATTTAGCCAGTTTAATATTTGCTTTCACATGTATGACTGTCTGTTGATTTCAGGTCTACAGATTAACTTTTAAACACATTTAATTGCCTTCCTCCATTACCCCTTCTTCCCCCATTGCTCTATTTCTACCAGGAGGACCTCCCCGTCTTGGACCTCTTGCACGCCCTCTGAATCGATAATCAACTGCTCTACCTCTACTTGACTCCCTCGTTGCTGGGTGAACAAATTGTTGTGTTTCACGATTCCTTGTCATGTGATTTGGTGGAAGTGGAAGACTTTTTTTTGGAGTAGGAAGTAGGGCACCTCTGTGCCTTGGGGGTTGTACTACGTGCTGACTTTGTGTGTTTTCTCCTCTGTTGGGACCTGGACCTGGACCTAGAGACCTACCGAATGGTGCTGAAGGTCTTTCACAAGGGTTGTGGCTTTCAGTAACTTGATGGGGACCTCTTCTTTCCCCACTGCGTGACTGACCTAGCGGCCCGTGTTCCCTGTCCCTATCCCTCATGTCTGGACCTCTTCTATTGGACTCAGGAAAGTCTGTGTTTGAATCCCATCTGCTCATGTCTGCTTTATTAGGTCCTGTACCTGGTCTTTGTCGTCTCATTTTCGGAGCTCCCCTTTCTCTTCTGAAATTATGCTCAAATCCTGTTTGACAATCTTCCATGTCCTCTTCAAATCTTTCAGATCCTAGCTCCCCAAAATCAGAATTTTCTTCATCAAACCCCTGATTTTCATTTGAGTTTCTGTAGCCTGGTTCTGAGCATTCTAAATTTGAACTTCCCTGCCCTTCCATTTCAAATGCTCTTCTGTTTAGGCGGGAGTTCATAAAATCTGGACCTCTACTATGAGTTCCTGGTATGTCTGCATTAGACTCTCTCGTATTCCCCCTGAAGTTCTGTTGCCTTCTGTCATTTCCCATATATAAAGGCTTTTGCATACCTGGTCCTCGTCCCCTACCTCGGCCTCGATCACAAATGTGTCCTCTGTTGCCTGGACCACCTTCACCTCTGAAAAATGGCCCAGAACCTTCTCTATTAAGCTCTCTCCATTCATGTCTTTGTCCACCCCTGCTAAACTCAGGACGAACATCTGAATTCTCTTGAACTGGCCCTGGACCCCTACAACCAGGACCATTCCAGTCATCTTCTGAATCCTGTATAGGGCCTGGAACACGCACAGCTTGTCCTTCATGTGCGTTAGAGCGACCCTGCCAGCTTTGTTCTTGTTCATGTGAAACATCTTCGAAAGGTTCAGAACTCAAATTGCAACTGTTTTCCCAACTATCTCCTGAATGTTCTCTTTCATTTTCCAAAGCCTCTCTATTGGGGCCTCTTCTGTCTAACCACTGCCCCTCAAAATCTTCACCACTCCTACCGCGTGTAAAGCCCCGGACACGTGGCCTTCGTCCTCTCATGTTTCCTCTCATGGGCCTTGAGGGTCTAAAGTTTCTAAATGTTTGATCAGATCCAGTAAACTCCAAATCAGGACTATCTGAAATAGGTTCGGACTCTCCCCAGTCACTTTGTCTTTGATTTCCTTCTGGCCCCCCTTGTTGCCTGAATCCTTGATCTCTACGATCTAAACCTCCTAGTTCTTTCCAGTTAGGTCCTGTGTCCATTTCTGGACATGGTCTTTTAGGCACAGGTTCTCTAAAGCTTGCATTTCCTGAATTATACCTGTCAACAACTGGGCTTTCAATGTCTGAACATCTACTTTCATTACCTGGTCCTATAAAGTCTCCTGGACCTTTTCTAATGGGTCTCTGAGCCTCCACAAATGTTCTAATAGGCCTCATGCCTTTAAAGCTTGGTGCTCCCCTACTAGACTGTAGACTTTCCATATTTGGAGGTGATCTAACTGATTCAGGATTCCTGAACTGTGAGCCATGTGGTGTTTCATTCATATCTGAGGACACTTCTTCTTGCCAAGGTTCTTTAATGTTAGGAGCTTCAGGACACATACTATCAGGCCTTAAGCTTGTGTTTACAAAATCATGTTGAGGCCCTGGTCTCCCTGTTCTTGGATGTCCAAGCCCTCTCCTGTTCAGTGATGGACCTGCCATATCAGAGAGAGGTACTCTAATGATTGGATCTTTCTGGTTGTGCCCCAAGTCTTCAAAATTTGGACATCCACTTTCTACTCCATCTTCCCTGGAGTGTGGCCTTACATGATCTTCTGGTCTCCAGATATCTGGTACCCGTGGTCCTCTCCTATTAGAATCTTGCCTGTCTATGTCAGGACCTCTCATTTTATTTACAGAACTACTAAAATCTGGACCTCTGGTATTTCTTCTATCTTGCCCAGGAGTCTCAATTGACGAGCATCTGCTTTCAGACCCTGGTCCTCTGAAAACTGGACCTTCACATCTTCTGTTCTGGGGAACAGACTCTTCCATGGTGATACTTCTTTTCTCATGTCCAGATCTTCTAAATTCTTGATCTCGAGGTCTTGTCCTGTATTGCTCAGCACCATCCATGGATAAGCCTCTGCTTTCAGGCCTCACTTCTCTGAAATCTAGACCTCCAGAACACCTTCTCTCAGTCTCAGTGGCTTCCACATGGCTGCCCCTCCTTACAAGACTAGTTCTCCTGTTGTCTGGTCCATCTAATTTCAACAAACCTCCCCTTTCAGGCCCTACTGAAATAGGCCTTACTCCTCTGACATTTTGATCTCCTCTTCTGTCAGTCCTAAGACCTTCCATGATGGGATCTCTTCTATCAGACTCTGAACCACCCATATGTGGTCCTCTCCTTTCAAGCCAAGGTACCTTAAAATTTGGACCAGTTGACCCTCGTTTGTCAGAACCATGTCTGTCCACAGTCAAATCATGTCTTCTAGGGCCTGATTCTTCAAAATGTGGACCAATAGGTTCCCTTCTGTCCGACTCGGGACATTCCACAGGTACTTCTCGACCATCATGTCCTGGTTCCATAAAGTCTGAACCTGATACTCTTAAGCCAGGTCCTCCAATGTTTGATGGATTTCTTCTCTCAAGCCCTTGTTCAATAGAATTTTGACTTATGTGTTGTGATAATTTGTGCCTTGGAAAGTGCATCTGGGGAGCTCTTGTTTCTTGACTAGGTCTCATGAAATCTGGTCTCACTCGTTCTGTTTCATCATGCATCAAGTTCTGTACATTTGGACTAACTTTACTCTCTGGATTTCTATATTCTAAGTTTCTAAAACCTTCTCTGTCAGACCCCTGGCTCTCCAAATTGGGCCTTTTCCCATCAAAGTGATGGCCACTCCAGTCATTTTGTAGAAATGGCCCTGTTCTGACTGGATCTAGTCCTCCCTGGTTTGGGTCTTCCCAAGTATCTGATCTTGGGACATTCTGATCTGGATGTCTCTCAAGTGAACCAAGGCTTTTATTCTGATTAATATAAAGAGGTCCTGGACCTCTCCAGTCTGGATTTGTAATGTTTGCCATGGTTCCACTGTTCTGAGGCTGAAAGTCAGTTTTCTCAAAGGATCTTGTTGCCATTGTGCTTGACCTAGCATCAAGGCTCTCTGACTGTGGTCTAAAGTCATTTGTCTTTAAATAAGGTAAATTTTGAAGACAGCTAATATTTTGGCTTGCCTCATCGCCATGCCCACTTGGTTCTGTACTATGATGCATCACTGATGAAGAATCCCTTGACCCCAAAAACCAACTATCAGGTGCAGTTTTATCTGAAAGCTGGCTTTTCAGAAATGGATTTTCCCTTTCATTTTGTATGTTTGATTCAGTCATTGGTGGGTTTAAGGCAGATGGCTCAAAATTTTGTACTAAATCAGAACATGGATTTTTTATGCTTTGGTTTACATCTTTCAAAGATGAATTTCCTATATCTAGCATTTGATTTCTCACAGCTGTCCACGAATCAATTCTTTTGAAGCTTTGGTGCTGATTACCTGATTCTCCAGGTATGTCTGGCAGTGAACTTGTTGAAGTTTCTTGTTGCATTACTTGTTTCTCTTTAACTCGATTCAGAATGCCTGGTCTAGGCCATGGAAGTCTAATTTCTGTTTTCTGTACATCAATGTGTGCTCCGCTGTGTTCAGATTCATTTATATTTGGTTTTGAATTATTATTCTGAAATCCAGCACCTGGTCTTGAAAACTCTGAGAGAGTATCTGTTTCATGTCCTGCACCCTGAATAACTAGGCCATCAACTGGCAAACATTTACTTTCCTCCTTAACTAATGGCACTGAAACACTGTTAGTCTCTTCAGGATCTCTGTTTTCCTCAGACTTAGCACATTCATTCCTTTCTATGCTGGAAGGTTTGACAAACTGCGGGTCTGGATCAGGGCTCTCAGGTGAATCTCGAATGGGTGGATCAATTTCCCTAAGTGGAATTGTGCTTTCATATTTGTCATGAAAAAATGTCTCTTTCAATGACAGTTTCTTTTCCTGTGAACAGTTACCACTAACCGAATTATCATCATGACTGAATGATATTTTTTCCAACTCAAATTTTTGACAGTCTGAAGATTCTGAAATCTCCAATTTGATCTTATGGACAAATTCAGGGGCATGTTCAGAAGGGTTCTCAATCTGATTGCATTCTAACGTTAGTCCATCTGGATCATTTTTAACTGAAATTTCACTTTTCACAGGAGCATTACATGAAACACTTGCATCTTTTGTTTTCTCAATGACTTGAGAAAGTGGTCTTCTGTGCTGTTTCGGTGAAAGGGATGCAGAATGTTTTTTACGTGGGGATGATGGCGATCTTCTTCGCCCATGAGAATGATGACGTGAACTGCGGTCTTTGCGATAGTGTCCTGATCGTTCTGGTGGATCTCTAGTTCTGTGCCTTGACCGATCTCCTTCACTTCTTCTGTGTCTGTCCTTGTCTCTATGTCTTCTAGAACGTGATCGAGACCGCTGCTGTGATCTTCTTGAAGGACTTCTGTGATGTTCTCTTTCATGACGGCTTCGCCTTTTTGGGGATGACCTTCGTTTTTTGGAGTGGGGTGAATTTGGAGAAACACCTTTGTAACTAGAACTTTGCCCTGATTTTGAGAAAGACTCATTGGTCATTGCAATTCCTCCTTTAAATACATCCTCTTGGATTTCATCAAAAAGTGACTCATCTTCAGGATCATAAGCTACATCCGAGTCTTCAATCTCTCCAGCAGAGGATTCCTTTTCACATTCTTTACCAGGTATTCTAGCTTCCCCCAAAACTGTATTTTTATCATCTTTTAATTTTTGACCATCACTTGTTGTTTCTTCTGGCTTAACAGTTTCAGACTTTACAGTTGATTTATTTTCAGTCTCTGTAGGGATGCTGGACATATCAGCTTGATTAGAAATTTTTGATTCTGTTTGCTTTGTAGAATCTTGCCCAGATGACTGCTGGCTGAGTGATGATGCTTTTGATGGAGGAGACATTAAGGAATCAGAAACAGAAAAGTGAGCCATGAACATACCCACAGCTTCTCTTTGCTGTCGCAGTACTTCTTCCTGCTCTTTCAACTGACGCTTTTGTTCTTCAATTTGCTTGTTAAGCTCCTCAAGCATCCTCTGCTGTTCACTCAATGTTTCAGCTGAGACCACTATTGTGCCTGTAAGGTTTGGCTTTAGTGAAGCCACTGGACTAGGACTCTGTGCTGGCGAGGAACTAGAAACTGGTGCTGGGCATGATGAAGAACCTAAATTTTGAGTTGAAACAGCAGGTTTTGTTAATGCAACATCACTTTGAAATTCTTCAAAGATGGTCTCGTCCTCTGGATCATAGGCCACATCATCTTCATGTGAAATTTTGGAGGATTCTATCTGAACATTTTCAGTGGTTTGTGTGGGGAACATTTTATATCTCATTGCAGGATCATATTCCTCTTCAGGGTCATATGGTCTGTCAAAGTCAATTTCTTTTTCTTCTTCTTCTATCTCTTTGATTTTGGATTTCTGTCCATATTGTTGAACAATTGGATCAATCATTGATCCAGACACTTGAGATAACACTGGAGTCTTCTTGGCACTTACTGCTGGTTTTGGAGGACTTTCATCAGTGGAGCCCATTAAGTCAGACTGCTTATCCTTGAACAAAGTCTTCAAAATTGTCTGCAGTGGATTTTTATTACTTGAAGCTGATGGAGAATTCTTGCTCAGGTTACAGTCAGTTGAGGACTTTGTAGTAGTCATGGACGAGACAGAAGGAGTTGCTTTTATTGAATTCATAATAGATGGTATAGAAACTGAAGAAGAGGAAGAATCTGACGGTGATCCAGGGCAAGATGGTGAACCAGGTGGGGAGGAACTAACAGGAGTCTCAGGATCATAGGGCTGAAATACCTCCAATTTGTCAGAGCCATAGAGGACAGGTGGTTTTGGGATCCACATAGGGTCTTTGGACATGTTAACTTTGGGTCTCTTCTCTTCAACTTCTTGGGGCAAGCTTCCAGAACGTTTTGCCTTTTGGACAATTGCTAGACCCAAAAGAAGATTGGGTCGGTTTTTTTCAAGACCTGAGAAGAAAAAAATACAATAAACATAAAACAATGAAAATTCAGAAAATAAAACTATTTTAATAAAACTTATGTGACCTTTTAAATTGTTCGGTACAGTTTAACACCGCTAAACATAATAATCCTGTAGGTTCAAAATGACAAACATTCCCACTAGCAAAACACACCAAAACCATCACTAAGAGAAAATGCTTATGACATGTTCAATTTTTTCCTTTTTGTCAAAGAATGTGGGCTTGTTTGACTTATGAGATGGGATTTATAAATAAAAAATACTTTCCAGAAGATGAAATAGCTCTTTTTGTCATCTTTAATTTTCATAACTTGAATAGTAATTAGGTAAAAATAAAAATCATCATCTTAGTTAGATCATCCATCCTTGCAAATGTAGTGACGTTACAGCTTTTGATGATGCATTACATTATGCTGCAAATTTATGTTTAGTACATAACAGTGTTGATGAAGTATGACGTTACAAGAATTGTGGGGAATTCTCAGGTCCCCGATGTCAGACAAAAAATCCAGCGGTCTGCAAGCATGATAGCCGACTCCAACACATTTATCTGTGTACACTTAGAGGCCAAAATCAACTTTGATTGTATTGACAGATACAGCAATGCACAGCTCAAGCTTTGGCAACAATGCAGGGGAATAGCAGTACCCAGCAACCGTGTCAAATTGATAAAAAGGTACGTTTAGCATTCCTGATTTGTCTGTGCTGACTGATGCTGTGCTGTTTTGCCTCATAGAAAAACAGCACAGATGACAGATTATTTTGTGAATGATGCATGGCATTTATTTGTCATTGACTTCCAGCGGCAGGATGAATAATGATTTTGCCAGCAATTTCTTTATTAGCTGTTGTTAGCTGTTAGCAACCTGTTCTGTTTCTCTATTTTACTCAAGAGTGAAAATGTTCTTTAAAAACTGATCATTTCTAGGTTATCATATTACCACAATAATATTTTGGCTTGGAAATAAAAAGGAAATTATTTTTTTCCATTGTTTTGCTAGTTTTAGATATAAATCACTTTTAGACAGCTTTAACACTACAGGTGGAGAATACCAGGGTGGTGATGGTATTTTTGGGATCCCTAGTTT